TTATAAGTCCAATCAATGGTAAAAAAAAAAACTGTTTTGAAATGATTTATCTTGGTCTCATTTTTTTGAAATCACAAAAAGCTAGCATTTGAACAGGGGTGTGTAGACTTTTTATAACCACTGTATTGATGTGTGACGCGGCAGGCAGAACAATAAAGTGCTCTTCCACAAAGTGACAGAAGGTACATAAGTGCCCTCTCCGTATATTCACTTTTTGTGCCATTTTTGTTTGGTGGTGGTGTGCGAATTTAGTTCCTAATAAGAAAAGGCTCAATATTAAAAAAAAAAACAAACCATAGTCTCCTCGGTAGCGGATGTTCTGGTACTCAGAGTAGAAGACGGCCTTCTCCAACATGCCCAGGATGATGACGCCGCCGATCCAGAACTGGACCCTGAGCAGGTCTCGCCAGTAGCAAGCGCACCAAAAGAGCCAGAGGGCGCCGAAGAGCACGTAGACGATGCACATGACCATAAAGAACTGCCAAAGACAGACAAATACAGTTTTAAAGACCATGAAAAATGAATTTCAGAGATGTGATTCTAATTACATCATACATGTTTACGATAATTGCTGTAAACATGTGCAAAGGCTGAAACTTTTTTCTCTTATTTTTGGAGATAGAGCTTTAACCTGAGCAGGTCTCGCCAGTAGCAAGCGCACCAAAAGAGCCAGAGGGCGCCGAAGAGCACGTAGACGATGCACATGACCATAAAGAACTGCAAAAGACATACAAATACAGTTTTAAAGACCATGAAAAATTAATTTCAGAGATGTGCTTCTAATTACATCATACATGTTTACGATAATTGCTGTAAACATGTGTAAAGGCTGAAAACTTTTTTGTCTTATTTTTGGAGAAAGAGCTTTAAACTGTTTAAGTCCATACCATCATCTGGGGCCAGTCGGCTGGGGAGGAGTAGTCATGTGGTCCCTTCATCTCCACTTTCACTGTGCAAAATGAAAATTAGAACATGTATTTTTTTGTTGTTGCTTTTCAAGGTCAGGCCACGTCATCCTCCTCACTGGTGAAAGCAAAGTTGAGCTGCTCGGCCGCAAAGTCCTCCTCCTCAACGCCGCGTAAGAGCGGCTGCACCTTGACGATGAACAAGTACGGGCTGTCCCCCCACGCCTTGGCAACGGCGCCCAAGTCCTGCCGCGATCGCAAAAATGACATCATTTTGGACACGGGAAGGGACACGCAAAAAAGAGGCACGTGCGAGAATGTTTCTTACCGGCTTGTCGGGCCAAACAAAGCTCTGATTGGATGCGTCGCTCTGAATGTGGAAAATTGAAGATCAGTTTTTAAAACGCAGATTGTTATTTTAGATTAAATAATGAAGGAAGAGGATTTACCTTTGGGCTGGACAGTGGTTGATATGGATTAAAATCTGCATAGTACACCTTGATGGGAGGGACATGAAGGACAGTGTCCTTACATTGATATATATATATATTTTGCAGTTAAAAAAAATATTGTTGCATGACACTTGTTTTCTGTTTAAGCCAAAAATCAAGATAAATTACTATTGTTCCTTTTTCAAAACACTTGCTGTGTCTGCTTCCCTGAATCCCCCCACCAAAAAAAAAAAAAAAAAGGTTTGTCATGTCTTTTATTGAAATAAATAAAATAGCACCTAAAATGTTTCATTATGAAAGCATAACGTCATACAAATAATTAAGAGGAACCCAAGGAATTGCAGTTTGTGCATCGTGATTAATTCATTTCATCTCCTTCATGGCAGCATAATGCAGAGACAAAGAGGAGTTTCAAAACTTCTATGTAGATCATAGGTGTCAAACTCAGGTCCTGGAGGGCCGCTGTCCTGCATGTTTTCCAAGTCTCCCTGTTGCAACACACCTGATTCAAATGATCAGATCATCAGCAAGCTCTGCGGAAGCCTGACATCGAACCTGTTCATTTGAATCAGGTGTGTTGCAACAGGGAGACTTGGAAAACATGCAGGACAGCGGCCCTCCAGGACCTGAGTTTGACACCTATGATGTAGATACTCAACTAACTGCTCTTAGTTGTTTTTCCAAGAAGACAAAGAATACATGCCTGTGAGCATTGCTATATTGTTTGTCTTCAACTGTCGTTGGACCGTTTACATTGAAATATTCGTTGCATGTAATCTACCAAACTGCTGCTTGTAATCAAATGAGCGGCGTTTTGCCACCACACAACGGTCGCATGTCAAATTTTCTGCTCGCAACACAAAGGAAAATAAATAGGGAAATGAAATAAGTTCATCACGCGACGACTCATGAGCCTGGTAATAAATTGAAACGCAGCTTGGCATATTCATGGCACTGACCTTGGGCAAGAAGAGAGCCGAGCAGTTCTCAAAGTAGACGTAGCCCTGACTGTAGAAGCCGCTCCACCCCTCCTTGAGCATGTGCTCCATGGCGAACATATTGATGGCCTTGCTGTCCTGTGGTGGAAGACACACTCTGAGAAAGGTGGCCTGGGTGCCCAACGATTAAAGGATATGGCGCAGTACTTACGGGCGTGTTGAAGATCTCATTATAGCACAGGGAAGAACGCAAGTACCAGCTGATGTTGAAGGCCAGGTTTTGATCACATGCGCTGATGTCACCCTGGACTGTCGCAGAGAGAGCAAAAAAAAAAAAAAAAAAACACAATTGTAATATCAGGGCTAGGTGACTAAATTGTTTTTAATTGATGAAATCAAGTTTATTTGTCAGGGAGATTTGAAGGCAATAATGGGGTTACTTGCGCTGAACTTTACCAAACAAATGGTGCTGCAGTTACTGAATACTTTAGGAATCATCTGTTCGACTGTTTATCCAATTTTTATGAACTAGTGTCTGTAACTTTATGGGTGAACGGCTGTGAAAGGTAGGGCCGAGCTTGGTGAGTGACATGGGTGTCAGCGATTGAAACTATTCTACACCACTTGCAGTAGCGTTACAATGTATTCTAACTAGCGATGTTCAGCAAAGGATACTGTATTATTAATTCAGACATTGTTAGTCTTTTATGGACTCCTCCTTACTCACTGCCATCGCACCAAATAATTCTTGAATTAATTCTACAAGGTGGTGTTTGCTATCGCAGTAAAATTAATCCACGTGCAAAAAATTAACCTTGCAAAAGCTTCGAGTACTGAATTTGGTTCAACTTTTTTTTCCTAATCAAATTATTCGATGAGTCGTCGTTGGACAGCTGCTTTCAGCAGGGCCCGAGAAGTGAGTGTCAAATGTGAAACTTTACACCCGCATCACTACTCACACTTCATGAAGACAGTGGTGTTGGCGTACAGCGTCTTCCGGAAGACAGCATGCTGTGTCTGAAAACACAAACAATTCAGTTAACTGTTTCCCTTCTACTAAGTAGCAACTATTTTTCAAGAAAGTGTGTATAAGTATTTTTTTTTTGTTGTAATTTTAGAAACCTGGTTTTATTTCTACACTTTACTTTTAAATATTTAAGTTGTCTGTCAATATGTTTAATGTTGTCAATGTATGGTAATTTTAGTCAATTTGTTTCCTCCGCTCTGCTTCTGAATGTCGTATTTATTCTTGCTTTTCGGTGCGTCTTTGCTTGTGTGAAGCACATTGAATTTCCTTGTGTATGAAATCCATCCACCCTTTACCTGAAGCGCTTTATCCTCAATGTACTATATAAATAAAGCTCTACATATAAAGTTCTTTTAACTCGCGCCTCTTCTTTATCACAACAAACAGTGTACTAGTACACAGTATCGAGGATCTCGAAGAAGTGCTCCAATTGCTTTCCATACGTCAGTTTGTTTGACAGTCAGACAGCCAGCCGGCTAACTAGCTGCCGAGCTAGCTAAAAGCTAACAGCGCCTTTTATTACCCAGCAAACTCTTCCGCAAAACGCGGCAAGCAAAAACGGTGACACTGACCGAGTTGACGTCCACGTTCCACACGGACACCTCGGCCGTTTTGCCAGGACTTAAAGCCGCTGCGAGAAACAAGAAAAAGCGCAACGACCACTCTGCGTTGCTTGGCATCTTGGTGTCTTCGAGTTTCTGCGTGAAGCATCCGCCTCCTCCCCCGTCGCGGATCCGGATCGGTGACTTGTTAGTGTCGTCAAATGTCTTCACACTAGAGGGCGACAGATGACGACTAAAGAAGAGTTGCATTTACCGGTCGGTACACTCAGTACATTAATATGTCGTACATCATCATTATGAACATTACCATCATGCATCAGATGAAAAAAGTAGTCACATACTGCTGAAATTTCAATCCGGTATATGTCTCTGGCTGCACTTTGGTTTTCCCAACGACAGCTTGCCTATATTTGGAAGTGCCTGCGTAGGGCAGCCTAATCGGAAGTAACAGGGATGCTTTTCCAACTGATTGGTCTATTGCTGTTAGCGCTCTGAAATCACTCTGACAGCCCTTGCCTATTGGATGCATACAAACAAAAGAAATGTACATTATTAAAAAATATATATTTTTAAAAATCAGATAAAGGTGAATCCATGGGTGCTGAGCACAGACGTGATTCGAACCAGGAGTCGCAGGGGTTAACTGTTCTTCCTTTGAGTCTGCATGGCTGTACTGTATTACACAGTACTGTACTGCGTTGATAGTCATGGAACGAAGTCCAATGAATTGGATTGCAGCACTAAATCATTGCGCATAGTGTTCATTGCCCTATTTAATTATATTAGGACTCAATGTTTTGTTTTTTAATATATTATACAGTGCTATTGTTCCTTATTAAAAACGAAAAACAACATTTCATGCTTGGGTGGAGTGGAGCAGATTATTGGCATTTTCTTTTTTTTATTTTTTTTTTAGCACGTTCACACAACTCATTAAACTGATATTTTAAGGCACCGCTGTAGTTGTATATAATTAAATTGTCAACAGTCATCATGACACGTTCACTTGTAATGAAAAAAAAAAACCCTACATATTAGCTCTTGTTTTGAAATACAAAACCGGAAATGTGAGTGCCGAGTCGTGGTAGTTTAGCTTGACGCTGTCAAATCTTGCAGTATAAAAAAATCACACACGTGAAGTTGCGGGTCTATCTTTAGTGTTGATCTGACGGGAAGCTGTGTCACCTCCATCTTCTTCTCCTCTTCTTCTGTGTTCGACATGGTGGACGTGAAACAACCCATTCCGGGGTATCATTTTGACTTTTTACTATTAATATGTTTAATTTACAATTAATAACAAGTTAAATCTAACACGGGCGTCCTACAATGACATGTTCTGCATATTATTCAAATTACATT